GAAAAGGTGGGTGGCTAACATTGGAACTGAAAATTATGTGCAATAAAATTGGTTAAAAAATGAAATTAGAATTAAAAAATAAATTTTCATACTGGTCCGATATATGTGCTTCTACCTACTGCGCGATATTTGGATTGGTAGCATGCTCAAGGATTATATTGTATGTACAGTCATTCTTTGTGATAATACATTTAAATTAAATAAACGTTAGTAGGATTAGAGATTTAAGATTGGAAAAAAAAATCATAATGGTTTAGAAATCTATAATAAAATTAGTGAGTTTTAGAAGATTGGCGTGGGGCGATGATTGGGGACGTTTGTAGGTAAAGTGATAAGGTGGTCGGGGGTCGTTGAATACTGGCAATTCTAATAGTATACTATAGATTGGTTTCAAACTAATTATCGCTTATATAACACTTTGAAGTGTTTTCACTCAATCGTTGTGGCAGTGTCATTATTGAGTTTAATTGGTGAGACTAGGTGTTATGCAACAATTAAAAAAAATAGTGATAGAATTATGGATCTGATCTTGGAGAGGGTTACTGTAGTAATAAAAGAGCGGTGTTGAATTTCCGAAGCTTGTGTATAAAATCGATGATATTGCTTGCCTAAGGACTTTCCTGTGGATCTGGTTGCCGTAGGAGGGGTGGGAGAAACTTCGTTAGGAATGCTTGCGGATTGTTGGTGCCCTTATGCGTAATAGAATTAGTTGTATGTGGGGCGAAATAAGAGCTCCGTGCAGTAGTTTTGCATGTTGTAAAAGATTGAATTGGATATGAAGGGTTTGCTGTGCGTTCATTGTCATAATGGGGTGGGTGGTTGGGGGGTGAACGCGGGGGGGGTTGGGTGGTGGGGGGTCCGTGCTCGCCTGTGGTGCACGTTGGCGGGTGTTGGATTATTATGATCGCGACTAGGCCATTGGTACCCTACATGATAAACAATTTTCCGGAGTGTATTGTACAAAAAACAGAGCAATGAAAGTTAAAGCACCAAAGGGCAATGGAATTTTTTTGTAATATATGGGAGAACGCAGTCCTTTCTTGTATTTAGGTCTATATTTGATTCTAGAATAAATGACAGTTTAGAAAATGTCTTGGGAACAATGGGAAGTGAAACGTACAAACGAATCATTTTTGTCAATCAAATAGGAGAGGTAACAATGTCCTTTTCGAAGTAGTTTCCAATATGAATAACAGTCATTGGAGGAAACCCGGCAGTCGCAAGAAGCAAAGTGGATCCGGGGGGGAGAAGTTGAGCAGAAGAAACAGCAAATAAGACTTAACTCTTGAATTGCTTGAATAGGCCGAAGAGGACCCGAATCGCGAAGCACAGCCGGCAGCCTCTCTTCAACGCCACCACCACCACCACCAACAACAACAACAAACAACACTCTACTGTGGTCCCCATGGAGTCGCATATTAAGAACTTCACAACTTGGCACCCCCAAAGACACGAAATGTTTTCACAGGTCACTTTGATCGTGTATCTGTAGACTACCAGAAAATGTATTTTTCCGGTATTATCAAGACTTGCCTTGGATGTTTTCGCTGTTCCGGTCTCAACCGTCTCATCCGAACAAACATTTGTGCAAGTGGAAGGATTTTACATGAAAGAGGACTAACGTTGCTCCAAAAATGATGAGTCGCACATTCTTCGGATTGGGAACGTCGCCCATCAAATAAACGATTAGCGACAATGATTTAGTAGATCGTCAATTTTGTATATAAATGATACAAATAATGGATCCTTTGAACCGCCGCGCCAGAGCTGATTAGTTGGTTGTTTTTTTTGTAAAATGTAATTGTGGTGGTCAGTGCAATTGGTGGTTGTCATCGTAGGCAGCTGTCTTTGTTCTTACCAGAGTGCTCCCATTGGTTTCCTTGGTGAGTTTTGTAACGAGGCAATAATTTATAATTTCTTATTTATTTTTTGATAAATGAATAATTTTCTTATATTATAATTTTATGGTATCAAAATTGAATAATATTGGAAATGTTCAAACACAAAATTGAAATTGAATTATTGATATTTGCAAAAGTTAATTAAAAGCATATATTATAATTATTATTTTGAAAGTTAAATAAAAAAACACAAAAACAAAAAAAAAAAGAAAATCGGCGAAGGTCCGTGCGCCCAGCCCGCCACCATCCCGGCGGTATGCTGGCGGGCCGGGGGTGGGCAGCCATGATGTTTAAAAATGGCGGGCCTAACCCGGCTCTTCTTTGCTGGCAGCGGTTTAGCCCGCGCGGCGCGCAAACAAAGTAACTCGGCCGCGGGCTTGGGCGCGGCCGAGTTTACTTTTTCCACCTCTAGCTACAACACTGAAAACTGCATCGAAATCGTGTATTAGCCTAGCGTGAACACCCGCTCATTTTTTTACAATTTTTTTTTAGTGAACGGCCGTCCATCAAATTTGAACAATCATTACATTAATGGACGTCCATCCATATTTGAACGGCGTCCTATACAGGGACGGATGTCCCCATTTAAAGACGTCCGTCCTAAATAATTATGAAAATAAAAAAAAAAAAAACTTTGGGGAGCGGGCCGGTCCTACCCGTCCATACTTTAAAAAAAAAAAAAAAGTTCCCGTCCCACCAAAGTCTGTGAAGATATTACCTTGCTTCCCAAATAAACACTCATGTGACAAAGGGCATAAGAGGATCTTCATACGCAACTTCATTTGCTTGTGGAGGTGCCACCTCCACTTCTTCAATCACCAATGGCTTCCCAGCTTCCCACGCCCCAGCACTCATAAAGAAAACAAAACTCATAGTTTACAGTAACGAGTGATAACTAGACACATAAAAATCCTAACTCAGTCCCATTAAACATAAAATTCTTAACTATTCAGGAAAGAAGAAAACACGTACCTTTGCAGCGAAGACCTGCCAACAGTGCCATGCCTCTCTTCTTAAACTTTGAAATTGAGAACAAATAATAACACATATGAAGACTAATTTCTTATAAGCTTTATGACTCTTTTGTTTCGTGGGTAATGGTCCTTTTGAGGGATATTTATACTCCATGAAAGTAGACATAGTTAAATGAAGGTAAATATATTAATTCTTACTGGCTAATTTAGACTTTTCAAATGACAGTTTTTGAAAAACACTGCAATTGGGCGGTTGTGACAAAACCATTCCAAGATGTTGTTCACGGGATTTTTAAGCCCTGGTTTAGTGGTTTCACTGTTGGTTAAGGTAAAGTAAAATGAAGATAAAAGATGATGATGTGTTTTTTGTATTGTTTTAAATATCAAGTCAATGTTTTGAAATTCTAACCTGTTAAATCAAATGGATGCAATAAAGTTTCCATGGAGGCAAGTGAAGAAGGTGCAGACTTCCGCCCTCTACTTCTTCGTCTTCATTCACCTGTGTTTTTTTGAGAGAGGCAAGAGTTTTAATTTTTCGGGGAAGTCAGTACGATGAGAGAATAAGGATAGCTACAGAACTTCAACCAGGATGCAAACGTGCTATACGGCTGGAGACCCAAAAGTTGGCTGATGATGGCAGGAGATCCTGCATGAGATTGGCTATCACTGGAAAGAGTTCCAACAAAAACTTAAGTAATGAACGGGCGTCCATTCCTTACGGACGCTCGTCCCATCCAAAGTTTTTCTTTAATTTGTATAAACCAAAATAATGGATGCCCATCCAAACATTTTTTTTTTTTTTTTTAAGTATGGACGTGTTCATTAGAATGGACGCCCTTACCAAACGAAGGACAGCCCATCCAGTTTTTTTTTTTTTTTTCATAATTTATTTATGGACGGATCCTTTAATGGGGTGCCGTCCTTTGTATGACGCCCGTCCATCTATATGGACGGGCATCCATGTAGTGAATGGCCTTCCAAATTTATTTACGGGCGTTCACTAAAAAAAAATTGTAAAAAAAATGAGAGGCTTGTTACACTAGGTCGGTACAGTACGATTTCGGTTTTCAGTTTTCAGTGTCCGTAGGCATTATTGAATACATTAGAATACATCCGTATTTTTTTTTTAAATTAATGTTAAGTAACATTACAACTAATGCAATTGTTTTACTTAGCATTATTTAAAGTGGAGTATATTGCATTATTTTAGATTTGTAATTATTTAATTCTATACAATTTTGTCACTAACCACATGATTGCATTATTTAGTGCTATTCAATGTTTTTAATGCTATGCTGTGTCGTGTGTCAAACATGTCCTTAAAGGACAACTTAGTCTCGTGAATGTATTGGATATTGTGAGTGTATTGGGCGGACCGACAAAAAACTTGTTCCCAAATGTATTTAGGATCTTATTTTCCTCCATATATTTTGTTGATATATGCTAGCTCCAAATACATGGTAGGTAGGTTCGTAAAGGTATTATCCGCTTTGGGTTTTAAGGGCAGCACAATTTTGTCTTGAAAATGCCCCTTTGGGTGGTTAGTGTGTTTTTGTACTATATAAGCGACTAAGACCCTCGTCTCATAATCGATGTGAGATTTTGACACCAACATATTTGTTTATGAATAATTTAAAGTTTATTATTGTTACATAATTTCTAAATCCTATTTTTGTAGTTTAAAATTATTTTGGAATCACAAATAAATAGTAATAAAATATATTTCAAAAACCTGAAGGGGCGAATTGTAATTTTGGATAACCTGAGGGACTGTGAATTTTCCGGTTTATATTTTTAATTCAAAATTTCGAATGCTCTTTTATTTAACCCAAGCCCAAACGTCTCCTTTATTGTTCCCCCCAAAACCTCTCCCCAAACCCTAGTTTTCAATAGACGCAGAAAGAGATGGACGATAGAGACGACTCTAGGTTTCTGAAGCTAAACGATGCCGTTCTTTGTATAAATCAAAAAGTTAGCTTAATCGGCGTTATTCTAGAGGTTGCTTGCCGTAAGGAAAACGAAGACTCCGATAATCACTAATCATCTCTTGAAATCCTTCTAGTTAGTTCAATTTTTGTTCATCTTTCAGTTAACTATAAGTGTTTCAAAAACGGATGTTTTTGGCTGGCTGTGATGACAAAAAGGCCAGACTTACGACTGCCACTAATTGTTTGGTAGAATGATTAATGCTTCTATAAGGGGCACGTGTTCAGCCAGTTGATTTGATTTATTTACGTTTTAATGATTTTTCTAAAGTTTTTTTTTTTTCTAATTCTAAACAATAATTTTTCTTACGGTTACTAGCTTGGTTGTTTTAGGTCTCCGTCTCCTGTCAAATTTTAGCTGTTGAAAAGATAATGCAAATGCAAGTATATTAATTGATATTAGGTTAGTATTCTTGCTTGGTTGATGCTGGCTTCACTTGAGTTTGTTGAGTTTTGATGATTTCATTGTGTTACAGGGAAAAAAAAGATTTAAAAGCTATAAATATCACGAATAATGTTATATGCATTAATCAATTTGTATTAATTCAAATACTAATATTGAAAATTTGAAATTTTTTTTTTTAGAAAAATTTTAAATTTTAAATGTTAGTACTTAAATTAGTGCATATAATATTATTCAAATATCAAAACAATTGATGTGTAAGATCTGTTACTTCTTGAAAACAATTATTATTTGTGCAAAAAAGATAGATATTTGTTGATAAGGACATGCGTACATCGCGTCGCGTTGTAGTGTCATATTTCACAGTATTTTTTTCTGTGAAGCCAAAATTACCTGCAATTACAAAATATGATTAAAAAAAACCAACTGCATCAAAGAAGTTCAAAACCCAGAATAAGTACACCATAATCCAAATAAAAAAATTATCCCCCCCCCCCAAAAAAAAAAAAACTAAAAACTGAAGAAATTTGTTGAGATCTAAATATAAGTTGATGACTATTACAAATAATAATAATTTGATCAAAAGATTTGTTGAAGAGATTTCGGACGGAAATACATCGAAGAATGCTTTTTGCCCATTACTGAGGTTCAAAGGAAAATTTAATCGTACAATGTCTACAAATACATAGCAATAATGCTACGAATAGAGGTGGAAAAAATGGGCCGGGTTAGGCGGGTCAACCCTAACCCGGCCTGTAATAAAGAGGGTTCAGCCCGACCCGCCTTAATGGCGGGCCGGGTTGAGCCCAACCCGCCAGCAACCCCCGGGCGGGCCGGGTTGCAAAATGGCAACCCGCCNCATTCCTCCATTTTATGTAAACGATGATGTTATGACAATAATGGAATACCATTTCTATTCTATACATCACTAATTGTTAGCCCTCGTAATAGCCATAGCAAAGCTTTTGGAACAGGTAGTAGGAAGACTCAACCATACCAATCTTTTTGTAGAATACTAGCCATGGGCGATATTAAAGTCCCATGTAACATGAGTTCGGTAATTATGTAATGCAGTGACAGCCACCTAATCGTCTACATGTGTGATTAACAGGCGTTCGCAGATGCATCTTTTAGTAAGGTCTCCTCCATACCTGCTCTTCATACTCTGTTGCAGCTTCTTTAGGGCGCCCAGACTTACACTTTAGGCAGACTTCATTCTTGCTATAATTTAAGAAATCACACCTGTTGAAACAGAATGCAAACTGTGTTAGTAAAACTTACCGCTAAACCTTGAGACGAAACCTCAGCCATGAGAAATTGGTAGAGACTCACGAGGGACAGTCCCACTCTCCATGATATAGCAGTCTATTAGGCCGTTGCTCACGGCAACGCAAACAATTTTTATTGCGAGCAAAGTTCATGAAAAAGCACCTGCAAGCACATAGATGCCAATTGCTGAGAGTAGATCAAATTTACAGATGAACATATAATGCAAATAATAAGGAAACCTAAAAGCTCATGCTAAAGTCACCAATCCTAGAGATAGACTAAACATCAGAATGAAAGTCAAGCACTAGATTATATTTTTGGTCCTTGACGACAGCCAGGTTACAATTGAGAACATTAATTGACAATAATGTAGCTCCCATGCCAAAATGATAATACAGAAGCTTGAGCAAATATTTGTAGAAGGATAGCTTGTTATTGAAAAGAACTACCAAACACTTACCGAGGGCAGTTCCACTCTCCCTTCCTCACTTCTACCTCGTCCACAGCAAGCCTCTTTGGACCCCCTGCTTTGCACTTTAGGCATCGCGTATTTTTAGAAAAATTCATGAAATTGCATCTACAATACAAAGTGCAACAGTGAAAGGACAGGAAAAAGAGTGACAAGTTGGTATGCAATAACTTAATTATAACATATAAAAAAGGGGGTCGTCAGGGGTTGCTTGTCCATAATTTGTTGGATTGAGAACATCATCACATCCGAGATAAATACACACACCTACAGAGCATGAAGTGTATTACCACATACTAAAAGTATAAGCATAAAATCGGAACAGTGATTTATAATAATCGTGTCCGCACTATTTAGGAGAGGGGTGAAGGGCCAGCATTACACTGCTTTTGAGCACATTTAAAAAGAAACAATAAGGATATTTGTAGAAGCTCCCATGCAAAGACAATATGTAGCTCCCATGCACAATATAATACAGAAGCTTGGCAAATATTTGTAGAAGGATAGCTTGTTATTGAAAAGAACTACCAAACACTTACTGAGGGCAGTCCAATCTCCTTTCTTCATTCTACCCTGTCCACAGCAAGCCTCTTTGGACCCCTGCTTGCACTTTAGGCATCGGCATATTCTAGAAAAACATGATTGCATCTGCAATACAAAGTGCACCAGTGAAGGACAGGAAAAAGAGTGACAAGTTGGTATGCAATAACTTAATTATAACTATAAAAAGGGGGTCGTCAGGGTTGCTTGTCCTAATTTGTTGGATTGAGACATCATCACATCCGAGATAAATACACCACTACAGAGCATAGTGTATTACCACATACAAAAAGTATAGCATAAAATCGGAACAGTGATTTATATATCATGTCAGCTATTTAGGAGGAGGTGAAGGGCCAGCATTATACTGCTTTTGAGCACAATTTAAAGAATTACCAATAAGTTTTCACCAACATAACCAATGACCCCTACAACTCAATGGCACATGAAATGCAGGGATATATTGAACGAATATTTTTGTTTCCATAAAAAAATAGATATAATAAAATATATTCAACGACAGCAAGGTGAATAAAATTATCTTTGAACACAAAAACTACTGAGACCTAAAACCCATGTGAGATGGCAGGTGAGCAACATTCAATATTTTATAGTTTCTGTCCCCCAAGGGATTTATTTATTTATTATTTGTGGACAACTGGCCAATTTTGCATCTCATTTTACTTCTTTCCAACAATTTTCAGTTTCCAATTTAAAAAAAAAATATGGAGCTAGAGATGATTGCACACTACTCAGAGAATCCAGTCTCCTCCTTCTTTCAAGTCACCCACCAGAACTTTTAGGACCTCTTCCTTACACTTTAGACATATTAATTTCTAGCGAAGTTAAGAAATTGCATCTGCGAACAGAAGTGAAAGAGAGTCAAATTTTTGAATTGTTTGCTTTGAATTAGTTTATCCTTAAACCATAGATTCTGGGAACTTGATTCAATCTAAAAACACCTAATGCAAAAAGTTTCCATTTGAGTCTTAACAAATAATGTTCATTCTATTTATTTTTACTTTTTGTGTCTCATAGACCAATGAGTTAAAGTCCAGTCATACCACACTGAATAGGTTGATCAATAGTTCCTTCAAGTCATAAAGTATTGTAAATTATATTAACTTTCAAACCTTAAAAAAATTACACAGCAATAAAGTATGATAGATAAAAGTGTTAGGCTGCAGCAAAAGCCCTGAAGCCATATGATTATCCATTACACACTGGTCAATAACAACTAGTCTCAAGATGTTCTAACCCTTCATAATTATGCATCAGGTGTCAGCCATCAAAATTCACCTCCATGCTTGCCTTGGAAGCCTAAACCTTTGAAAAACAATCCTCAAGAACATCTAAGCACAAAAATCAAATATTTAACTTGATGCATCCCTAAGCATTTTGGTTCCCTACAATTGCCAAAATCAAAAAGTGGCTTCCCAATACGAAGGAAATACTTTTGTCAGATTTTCTCAAACTACATTCTACTTTAGTATCTCTTCTAGGTTTCAATACATGAGCTGTTAGAGGTCTAATTTCCCTCTAACAACTGTCAGATTCATATCAATCTAGAAGATGTTTTTTCGCCATAAAATCATTGGCAAGATAGAGATTCAACTTGAAGAAGAGAATATAAATTTTCAAGTGCTTACTTGGCCACATCCATCGCCTCTTTTCATTTCAACATCCTGTAATAGTTCATCCTTAACAAATTTGACTTGTTTCTTTTGCTGGACAGGTTTGAAGCGGTTTGAACGGCCTTGGAAGCAATGGATGGGGCTGTCTCACTCACTTGGCGAATCTGTGTACATCCCGTGACAGCATCCACCGCCACGGAGGAACTGTAGCGGCGAAACCGGAGCGAGGAAATTGAAACGTGGGCGAGGATACGTGGAGGATTAGAGAGAGGGATTATGGTTAGGTGTTCGACGTGAGAAGGTTGTGAAGAGGAATACCTCGTCGCTGACTTGTTTTGGCGAGTGTAGAAGAAAACTGAACCTTGAAGCTTATGTGCCTGAGACTTTTGAAGAAGAGCTGGGTTTTACTAGGGTTTTAAGCAAAAAAATTAAAATCTGAAAGTAAATCTTGATTCTTTTATTACACCCCTTTGTTCAGAAACTTAACCTTTCACCCCTTCAATTTTTTTCTCGTTCTCTCTAACGGATAACTTGTTAACTTTTAGTATGCACCAACATTCTTTGGTATTTAGTTGCTTTTGAACTTGTCGTGATCTTAGTTTTAAGGGCAAAAAATTTGATCTTGAGATTAGTTTCATTATTAGATTAAATTGATAATAGAAAAAGAAATTAAAATATAATAAGATAACTATTATTTAAACATATCAAGACCATGTTAATAATGGATTATCTTATATTGTGTCGTGGAATTATTCTTAATTATGTTTTGTATGCAACATAGCATAGTATAGGTAATTGCATAGCATAACATAAAATTACATTTATTTAATGTCATGCTAAATATTGTTGATGGTGTAGTAGAACATTGCTTTTATTATTTTTATACTGTCCTATATTTGGTGTATGATTACATTGTATAATTTTTTTCTAATAAAAAATTTATTTATTAAAAACCAATATATTTTTCAATTATCATTTAACTAAAAAAAGTTAAATTGAAACGGGTTAGTAGTTAATGTCAGGTCAAACAGTAGTCAAGACCATTGACCAACATCGACCATATTTTGATCAATTAGTATATATTTAAGTTACTATATTAAATTAATTGACAATTTTTTTTTTTTAAATTAATGTTAAGTAACATTACAACTATTCAATTGTTTTACTTACGCTTATTTAAGTGGAGTATATTGCATTTATTTATGATTTGTAATTATTAATTCTATACAATTTTGTCACTAACCACTGATTGCATTATTTAGTGAATTCAATGTTTTTAATGCTATGCTGTGTCGTTTGTCAACCTGTCCTTAAAGGACAACTTAGTCTCGTGAATGTATTGGATATTGTAGTGTGTGGGCGAACCGACAAAAAACTTGTTCCCAAATGTATTAGGATCTATTTTCCTCCATATATTTTTGAATATTGCTAGCTCCAATACATGTTAGGTAGGTTCGTAAAGGTATTATCCGCTTTGGGTTTTAAGGGCATACATTTTGTCTTGAAAATGCACCTTTGAGTGTTAGTGTGTTTTTGTACTATATAACGACTAAGACCCTCGTCTCATATCGATGTGAGATTTTGACACCAACATATTTGTTTATGAATAATTCAAATTTTATTATTGTTCATAATTTCTAATCCTATTTTTGTAGTTTAAAATTATTTTGGAATCACAAATAAATATAATAATATATTTCAAAAACCTGAAGGGCGCATTGTGATTTTGATAACCTGAGGGACTGTGGATTCTTCTCCGGTTTGTATTTTTAATTCAAATTTCGAATGCTCTTTTATTTAACCCAAGCCCAAACGTCTCCTTTATTGTTCCCCCCAAAACCTCTGCACCCCGCCCTGTTTTAATAGACGCAGAAAGAGATGGACGATAGAGACGACTCTAGGATTCTGAAGCTAAACGATGCGTTCTTTGTATAACAAAAAGTTAGCTTAATCGGCGTTATTCTGGATGTTTTTTGGCTGGCTATGATGTCAAAAAGGCCGCACTTACGGCTGCCACTATTGTTTGGTATAGAAAGTGTACGTGTTTTGAGCCAGTTGATTTGATTTATTTACGTTTATGATTTTTTCTAAAGTTTTTTTTTTTTTTTTTCCCTAATTCTAAACAATATTTTTCTTACGGTTACCTGCTTGGTTGTTTTAGGTCTCCATCTCCTGTCAAATTTTAGCTTTTGAAAAGATAATGCAAGTATATATTTGATATTAGGTCATATTCTTGCTTGGTTGATGCTGGCTTCACTTGAGTTTGTTGAGTTTTGATGATTTCATGTGTTACAGAGAAAAAAAGATTTAAAAACTATAATATCACGAGTAATGTATATGTATTAACCAATTTGTACTATTTCAAGTATAAAACGCCGAAATTTGAATTTTTTTTTTTCTTTTGAGGAATTTTAAATTTTAAATTTTAGTACTTGAATTAGTATAAAAATAGTTAGTGCACATAGTATTATTCAAATATCACAACAATTGTGTGTAAGTCTGTTTCTTCTTCTTGAAACACATTATTATTTGTGCAAAAAAGATAGATATTTGTTGTACGGACATACGTCATCGCGTTGCGTGTAGTATTATATTTCACAGTAATTTTTTCTGTAAAGCCAAAATTACCTGCATTACAAAATATGATTAAAAAAAACCAACTACATCAAAGAAGTTCAAAACCCAGAAAAGTACACCATAATCCAATAAAAATTAATCCCACCCCCCAAAAAAAAAAAACAACTGAAGAATTAGTTATGATCTAAATATAATTGATGACTATTACAATAATAATATTTGATAAAAGATTTGTTGAAGAGATTTCGGATGGAAATACATTGAAGAATGCTTTTTGCCATTACTGAGTTCAAAGGAAAATTTAATCGTACAATGTCTACAAATACATAGATACGTTTCAGAATAATCTTACCATTGCTTGTTATATAGTCAAAGGACTCAAGCGCCTAATAAGTATTATGTTAGGATAAGACATGCACCAAGTGATTATCAACCCATCTAACACCATGAGGCATAATTAATATTCAAAGTAAATGGAATCTCAAAAATGTAATATAATAATGTTATAAATGAATTAAATTTCTTTACAAATCTCCAAAAGTCAAGCTCAAATAATTACAAACCAATTTACAATATGTGAGCTTAAGCATCAGCACATTGTATTAACCTAAATTGTTTTATAAGCTGAACAGGTGAAAGTACATTGTAACCAATTTTTTAGACTTAGATAGCATTTTTTTTTTTTTCAATTTAAATATGTCATTTGGATAATATGAGTTCACTTGAAAATTTGTTTTCCAGGAGGTCCCATATTATCTGAAACCTATCTAGAACACAAAAACAGACAAGCATCAACCTTTCGAACCAACCTTAAACTGATCCTTTTTCAAAGACTCTCTGTGACTCTGTCTAATATATCCTACTTACTAACCATCAGTTATTCAATCAAATGACCTCAAAATCAGCAATCCACCTCTACAAATTCTGCCATTGTATAGTATTTCAGCTCCCCAATTCAAATATCATCAATCTCTAAGCCTTCTTATTATATCACACACCATACCCTGTTCACTTAAGTTTCTTGAATGCAGCCAGTACAAGGCAAAATGTAAGCAACAGATGCTCAAAAAGTAACCAAAATTAGATTCAAAGTTGATTCAAGTAGCAGATATCAAATAACAGAATAAAACACACGAATTACAAAGCAAAAAACGAAACAAACTGATAAAGAACAACATCTAGAACCAAATCAGCCGGCGGCTTGTTCCTTAGCATAGACCTTTGAAACGACAGCGACGCGACTGCAGCGAGCGCTCCGGCGAAGCCGAGAGAACGGCTCCCGGAGCGGCGGCCGTACGAACCGCAATTGCCACTGATGCCGCCGCCTGAGAGAAAGCGCCGGTGGGTTGTGGTGGCCACCGAGGCAAAGTGGTAGTAGAAGCGAGGGCTCTGGAAAGCAAAAACGAGTAAGAGGGAAGCTCTACGGATCGCCGCCATTCTCAAGCATAAGAAAGAACGGAAGATCTTTAGATATCTGATTTGAAAATTCAAGAATTTAACGTCGTTTTGAGAATTTTTAGTAATGGGGTTTAAGGAGGCTTTTAGAATGGGAACTAACTAGAAGGAGAACAATGTTACCGACCGGCGGTTCACTTGGAATTCCCTTTCAAGGTGTGCAAGGTTCGTTTGGTATAGGAACTCCTTATTTATACGATTTTTAAGTTTATAAGAGTGACACATCGTTGAGTATAGATGACACACGTTTGAAATTGAAAATCATTTAAAGAGTATAAACTATTTATAATTTGTATCAAACTAAATAAATAATATATTAAAGTTTAAATTAGGGTTAGAAAATTTGAACCGACTTAGGTTTAAATCATTTAGGTTGCGGTTTAATATTTTAATCATTTTGACACATTATTCAGAGATTTTGTCCAACAAATGATTATTTTGTCATATTTGGGACTTATGTAAGTGCTGTTCATCTTGTATTAGAGATGGGAATTTGGGCCTGGACCCAAAAACCAAGCCTAGACCAATCCTTGTGAGAACCGACCTATAAGGTTCAATCCCAAACCGGACCAGGGACTTGAAGAGGGCTCAGCCCAAGTTCGGTCCCTCCTGCAAGGCACAGGCTTAGGACGATCCTAACTTGGTCCTAAACCCTCCTGCCTAATTTTTTTTAACCCCTAATAATATCTAAAACACCCCTATTTATACAAATAGATAATAAATATAAGGCTATACAAAATTTTTACGTATTAGGGGTATATTAAAATTTTCTAGGCCCAAGGCCTGACTAATCCTAGGATCGATTCGGGCCCTAACAATTTCATGGCCTAAGACAATCCTAAAACCGATTAGGCTCGATCCTAATTGAGACTGACCCATTGGGCCAAACCCCAGACCGTTGGGCCCAGTCCTTACCCACCTCTCTCTTGTATGTGATTGGGCCAGAAAACCCCAATATCCCAAAAAAACAAAAAACAAAAAAACAAAAAAAAAAATTTTAGCCAACCTAGGTCACATCAAGAAATAAAATAGTTTCGGGTGAAATCCGAATTTGATTGAAGTTTGTGCATTTCCACATATTTATGGATTCGATTGTCATCAAACGTTCAACATTGTATCAATGTAAAGAGAGAAACCAAATCTCTATTTTTCAAATCCCCACAAAAATCAATCTCAACCCCTTTTGCTTTCTATTTTCTTGACAACATGTAGCCTTTCCTAGTTGGAATTGCCATGAATTTTAAGTACATGTGAAAGTAAGGAGAACACATTTCTCATCCTTACTAGCAACAAACCACAAATTTCATACAAATATTAGTCCTAAAGATTGTAGACAAAAAAATGATCTTCCTCCATTTATGTAAACGATTATGTTATGAAAATAATGGATACCATTTTCATTCTATCATCACTAATTGTTGGCAGCAAACAAATCTGGAATCTACTACAAATTGGGTAACGGTAGCCCTGTAACAGCCATAGCATAGCTTTTGGAACAGGTAATAGGAAGACTCAACCATACCAATCTTTTTTGTAGAATACTAGCCATGTGGGATATTAAATTCCCATGTAACATGAGTTCGGTAATTATATCATGCAGTGACAGCCACCTAATCGTCTACATGTGTGATTAACGGGCGTTCGCAGATGCATCCTTTAGTAAGGTCTCCTCCACACCTGCTCTTCATACGCTGTTGCATCTTCTTTAGGGCGCCCAGACTTACACTTTCGGCAGACTTCATTCCTGCTATAATTTAAGTAATCACACCTATTGAAACAGAATGCAACTGTGTTAGTAAAACTTACTGCTAAACCTTGAGACGAAACCTCAACTGTGAGAGATTGGGAGAGACTCCACTCACGAGGGACATTCCCACTCTCCATAGTTTAGCAGTCTCTTAGGCCGTTGCTCACGGCAACGCAAACAATTTTTATTGCGAGCAAAGTTCACGAAAAGGCACCTGCAAGCACATAGATGCCAATTGCTGAGAGTAGATCAAATTTACAGATGAACATATAATGCAAATAATAAGGAAACCTAAAAGCTCATGCTAAAGTCACCAATCCTAGAGATAGACTAAACATCAGAATGAAAGTCAAGCGCTAGATTATATTTTTGGTCCTTGACGACAGCCAGGTTACAATTGAGAACATTAATTGACAATAATGTAGCTCCCATGCCAAAATGATAATGCAGAAGCTTGAGCAAATATTTGTAGAAGGATAGCTTGTTATTGAAAAGATCTACCAAACACTTACAGAGGGCAGTTCCAATCATCTTTCCTCACTTCGAACTCGTCCACAGCAAGCCCCTTTGGACCCCCTGCTTTGCACTTGAAGCATCGCGTATTTCTAGAAAAATTCATGAAATTGCATCTGCAATACAAAGTGCACCAGTCAAAGGACAGGAAAAAGAGTGACAAGTTGGTATGCAATAACTTAATTATAACATATAAAAAAGGGGGTCGTCAGGGGTTGCTTGTCCATAATTTGTTGGATTGAGAACATCATCACATCCGAGATAAATACACGCACCTACAGAGCATCAAGTGTATTACCACATACTAAAAGTATAAGCATAAAATCGGAACAGTGATTTATAATATCATGTCAGCACTATTTAGGAGAGGAGGTGAAGGGCCAGCATTATAACTGCTTTTGAGCACAATTTAAAAGAATTAACCAGATAAGTTTTCACCAACATAACCAAACATGAAATGCAGGGATATATTGAACGAATAATTTTTGTTTCTCATAAAAAAATAGATAGATAAATAAATATATTCAACGACAGCAAGGTGAATAAAATTATCTTTTGAACACAAAAACCACTGAGACCTAAAACCCAATGTGAGATGGAGCAGTGAGCAACATTCAATATTTTATAGTTTCTGTCCCCCAAGGGATTTATTTATTTATTTATTTGTGGGATGCAACATTATAATGCAAAATAATAAGGAAACCTAAAAGCTCATGCCAAAGTCACCACATCCTAGAGATAGACTAAAAAAATAGAGAAGTCAAGGCGATTATATTTTTGGTCCTTGACGACAGCCAGGTTACAATTAGAACATTAATTGACAATAATGAGCCCCATGCCAAATGAAATAAGAGAAGCTTGAGCAAATATTTGTAGAAGGATAGCTTGTTATTGAAAAGAACTAACAAACACTTACTGAGGGCAGTTCCATCTCCTTTCCTCACTTCTACCTGTCCACAGCAAGCCTCTTTGGACCCCCGCTTTGCACTTTAGGCATCGCGTATTTCTAGAAAAATTCATGAAATTGCATCTGCAATACAAAGTGCACCCGTAAAGGACAGGAAAAAAGTGACAAGTTGGTATGCAATAACTTAATTATAACATATAAAAAGGGGGTCGTCAGGGGTTGCTTGTCCATAATTTGTTGGATTGAGAAAACACTCACATCCGAGATAAATACACGCACTACAGAGCATAAGTGTATACACCATACTAAAAGTATAAGCAAAATCGGAACAGTGATTTATAATATCTGTCAGCACATAGGAGAGGAGGTGAAGGGCCAGCATAAACTGCTTTGAGCACAATTTAAAAGAATATAACATAAGGATATTGTAGAAGCTCCCATGCAAAAGGTTTAAGGAGGCTTTTAGAGTGGGAACCAACTAGAATGGAGAACAATGTAACCGGACCGGCCGGTTCAGCTTGGAATTCATTTATCCAAGCGTGTGCAAGGTTCGGTATGGTACAGGAACTCCTTTTTTATTCGCCATTTGAAAATATAAATTTAAAATATTATTTAAAAGGTATTAAATTATTTATAATTTGTATTAATCTAAAATAAACAAATTTAATTAAAGTTTATAATTAGGTTCAGAAAATTTGAACTGACTTAGGTTGTTGTCAGATAGTAAGATTATAACCATTTGAATAAATTATCCAAAGATCCTCCATTAGAGTTCGTCAAAATGATTATTTATCACATTTACAACTTATTTGACTCATTCATCTTGTATGGTGTTAAATAAACCTCACAGATTAATTAAAATGCAAGTAAAATTATAAACTGGTCCAAACATCCCAATTATCCCAAAAAAATTAAAAAAAAAAATTTAGCCAACCTAAGCCAAATCAAGAAATATAGTAGTTCCGGGTGAGAATCGAATTTGATTGAAGTTTGTGCATTTTCACATATTATATCCATCCTATTGTCATCAAACGTTCAACATTGTATCAATGTAAAGAGAGAAACCAAATCTCTATTTTTCAAATCCCACAAAATATCAATCTCAAACCCATTTTGCTTTCCATTTTCTTGACAAAATGTAGCCTTTTCTAGTTGGAATTGCCATGAATTTAAGTACATGTGAAAGGTAAAGGAGAACACATTTCTCATCCTTACTAGCAACAAACCACAAAATTTCATACAAATATTAGTCCTAAAGATTGTAGACAAAAACAATAGATCATTCCTTCATTTTATGTAAACGATAATGTTATGACAATAATGGAATACAATTTCTATTCTATACATCAATAATTATTAGCAGCCACCAAATCTGGAATCTACTACAATATTGGGTAACGGTAGCCCTCGTAATAGCCATGGCAAAGCTTTTGGAACAGGTAGTAGGAAGACTCAACCATACCAATCTTTTTGTAGAATACTAGCCATGGGCGATATTAAAGTCCCATGTAACATGAGTTCGGTAATTATGTAATGCAGTGACAGCCACCTAATCGTCTACATGTGTGATTAATGAGCATTTGCAGATGCATCTTTTAGTAAGGTCTCCTCCATACCTGCTCTTCATACTCTGTTGCATCTTCTTTAGGGCGCCCAGACTTACACTTTAGGCAGACTTCATTCTTGCTATAATTTAAGAAATCACACCTATTGAAACAGAATGCAAACTGTGTTAGTAAAACTTACTGCTAAACCTTGAGACGAAACCTCAGCCATGAGAAATTGGTAGAGACTCACGATGGACAGTCCCACTCTCCATGATATAGCAGTCTATTAGGCCGTTGCTCACGGCAACGCAAACAATTTTTATTGCGAGCAAAGTTCATGAAAAAGCACCTGCAAGCACATAGATGCCAATTGCTGAGAGTAGATCAAATTACAGATGACATATAATGCAAATATAAGGAAACCTAAGCTCATGCCAAAGTCACCAATCCTACAGATAGACTAAACATTAGAATGAAAGTCAAGTGCTAGATTATATTGGTCCTTGCCGACAGCCAGTTACAATTGAGAACATTAATTGACAATAATGTAGCTCCCATGCCAAAATGATAATACAGAAGCTTGAGCAAATATTTGTAGAAGGATAGCTTGTTATTGAAAGAACAACAAACACTTACTGAGGGCAGTTCCACTCTCCTTTCCTCACTTCTACCTCGTCCACAGCAAGCCTCTTTGGACCCATGCTTTGCACTTTAGGCATCGCGTATTTTCTAGAAAAATTCATGAATTGCATCTGCAATACAAAGTGCACCCGTGAAAGACGGAAATTGACAAGTTGGTATGCAAGACTTAATTATAACATATAAAAAAGGGTCGTCAGGGTTTTGCTTGTCCATAATTTGTTGGATTGAGAAATCATCACATCCGAGATAAATACACGCACCTACAGAGCATTAAGTGTATTACCACATACAAAGTATAACTAAAATCGGAACAGTGATTATAATATCGTGTCAGCACTATTTAGGAGAGGAGTGGAGGGCCAGCATTACAACTGCTTTTGAGCACAATTTAAAAGAATTAACATAAGGATATTTGTAGAAGCCCCATGCCAAAGGACAATAATGTAGCTCCCATGCCAAAATATAATACAGAAGCTTGCGCAAATATTTGTAAAGATAGCTTGTTATTGAAAAGAACTACCAAACACTTACTGAGGGCAGTTCCAATCTCCTTTCTTCACTTCTACCCTGTCCACAGCAAGCCTCTTTGGACCCCATGCTCTGCACTTTAGGCATCGCATACTTCTAGAAAAATGCTGAAATTGCATCTGCAATACAAGTGCACCAGTGAAGGCAGGAAAAAAGAGTGACAAGTTGGTATGCAATAACTTAATTATAACATATAAAAAGGGGGTCGTCAGGGGTTGCTTGTCCATAATTTGTTGGATTGAGGCAATCATCACATCCAGATAATACACGCACCTACAGAGCATCAAGTGTATTACCACAACTAAAGAATAAGCATAAATCGGAACGTGATTTATAATATCATGTCAGCACTATTTAGGAGAGGAGGTGAAGGGCAGCATTATACTGCTTTTGAGCACAATTAAAAAATTAACCAGATAGTTTTCACCAACATAACCAAATGACCCCTACAACTCAATGGCACATGAAATGCAGGGATATATGAACGAATAATTTTTGTTTCTCATAAAAAAATAGATAGATAATAAATATATTCAACGACAGCAAGTGAATAAAATTACTTTTGAACACAAAACTACTGAGACCTAAAACCCAATGTGAGATGGAGCAGTGAGCAACATTCATATTTTATAGTTTCTGTCCCCACGGATTTATTTATTTATTTATTTGTGGAACAACTGGTCCAATTTTGCATCTCATTTTACTTCTTTCGAACAAATTTTCAGTTTCCAATTTAAAAAAAAAATATGGAGCTAGAGATGATTGCACACTCACTCAGAGCAGATCCAGTCTCCATCCTTCGTTTCAATGTCACCACCACGAATGCTTTTAGGACCATCTTCCTTACACTTTAGACATATTAAATTTCTAGCGAAGTTTAGAAATTGCATCTGCAAACAGAAGTGAAAGAGAGTCAATTTTTTGAATTGTTTGCTTTGAATTGTTTATCCTTAAACCATAGATTCTGGAACTTGATTCAATCTAAAAAACACCTAATGCAAAAAGTTTCCATTTGAGTCTTACAAATAATGGTTCATTCTATTTATTTTTACTTTTTGGTCTCATAGACAATGAGTTAAGTCCGTCATATCACACTGAATTAGGTTGATCATAGTTCCTTCAAGTCATAAAGTATTGTAATTAATGTTAACTTTCAAACCTTAAAAAATTAACACAGCAATAAAGTATGATAGATATAAAAGTGTTAACTGCAGCAAAACCCTGAGCCATATGATTATCCATTAACTGGTCCATTAACAACTAGTCTCAAGATGTTCTAACCCTTCATAATTATGCTCAAGTGTCAGCCATCAAAATTCAACCTCCATGCTTGCACTTGGAAGCCTAAAACCTTTTGAAAAACAAAATCCTCAAGAACATCTAAACAAAAATCAATATTTAACTTGATGCATCCCCTAGCCATTTTGGTTCCCTACAATTGCCAAAATCAAAAGTGGCTTCCCAATACGAAGGCAAATACTTTTGTCAGATTTTCTCAAACTAACATTCATACTTTAGTATCTCTTCTAGGTTTCAATACATGAGCTGTTAGGATTCTAATTTTCCCTCACAAACTGTCAGATTCATACAATTCTAGGAAGATGTTTTTTCGCCATAAAAATCTTAGCAAGATAGAGATTCAATTGAGAAGAGAATAATAAATTTTCAATGTGACTTACTTGAGACACATCCAATCGCCTCTTTTCATTTCAACATCCTGATAGTTTCATCCTTAACAAATTTGACTTGTTTCTTTGCTGGACAGGGTTTGAAGTGTTTTGAAGCAGGCCTTGGAAGCAATGGATGGGGGGCTGTCTCACTCCCTTGGCGAAATCTGTGTTACATCCCGTGACAGCATCCACCGCCACGGAGGAACTGTAGCGGCGAAACCGGAGCGAGGAGAAATTGAAACGTTGGGCGAGGATACGTGGAGGGATTAGAGAGAGGGATTTATGGTTAGGGGTTCGACGTGAGAAGGTTGTGAAGAGGAATAACCTCGTCGCTGACATTGTTTTGGCGAGTGTAGAAGAAGAAGCTGAACCTCTGAAGCTTATGTGGGCACCTGAGACTTTTGAAGACGATGGAGCTGGGTTTTATCTAGGGTTTTAAGCAAAAAAATTAAAATCTGAAAGTAAATCTTGATTCTTTTATTACACCCCCTTTGTTCAGAAACTTAACCTTTCACCCCTTCAATTTTTTTCTCGTCTCTCTAACGGGTAACATTGTTAACTTTTAAGTATGTCACCAACATTCTTTTGGTATTTAGTTGCTTTTGAACTTGTCGTGATCTTAGTTTTTAAGGGCAAAAAATTTGATCTTGAGATTAGTAATTCATTATTAGATTAAATTGATAATAGAAAAAAGAAAATTAAAATATAATAAGAATAACTATTATTTAAAGCATATCAAGACCATGTTAATAAATGGATTATCTTATTATTGTGTCGTGGAATTAGTCTTAAATTATGTTTTGTATGCAACATAGCATAGTATTAGGTAAATTGCATAGCATAACATAAAATTACATTGTATTATATAATGTCATGCTAAATATTGTATGATGTGTAGTAGAACATTGCATTTTATTATTTTTATACTGTCCTATATTTGGTGTATGAATTACATTGTATAATATTTTTTTCTAATAAAAATTTATTTATTAAAAACCAATATATTTTTCAATTATCATTTAACTAAAAAAAGTTAAAAATTGAAACGGGTTAGTAGTTAATGTCAGTCAAACAGTAGTCAAGACCATTGACCAACATCGACCATATTTTGATCAATTAGTATATATTTAAATTTATACATATATTAAATTAATTGACAATTTTTTTTTTTTAAATTAATGTTAAGTAACATTACAACTAATGCAATTGTTTTACTTAGCATTATTTAAAGTGGAGTATATTGCATTATTTTAGATTTGTAATTAATTAATTCTATACAATTTTGTCACTAACCACATGATTGCATTATTTAGTGCTATTCAATGTTNTTGATCAATTAATGTATATTTAAATTTATATATATTAAATTAATTGACACTATTTTATTTTTTTAAAATTAATGTTAAGTAACATTACATTAACTAATGCAATTGTTTTACTTAGCATTATTAAAAGTGGAGTATATTGCATTATTTTAGATTTGTAATTATTTAATGCTATACAATTTTGTCACCAACCACATGATTGCATTATTTAGTGCTATTCAATGTTTTTAATGCTATGCTACGTCGTGTGTCAAACATATCCTTAAAGGACAACTTAGCCTTGTGAGTGTACAACTTAGTTTCATGAGTGTATTGGATATTATGAGTGTATTGGGCGGACTGACAAAAAACTTGTTCCCAAATACATTTATGATCTTATTTTCCTCCATATACTTTGTTGATATATGCTAGATTCACACACATGATAGACAGGTTCTTAAAGGTATTATCTGCTTTGGGTTTTGAGGGCGGCACAGTTTTGTCTTGAAAAGACGCGTCTGGGTGATTATTGTGTCTTTGTGCTATATAAGCGACTAAGACTCTCGTCTTGTAACCGATGTGAGATTTTGACACTAACATATTTGTTTATGAATAATTCAAAGTTTGTTATTGTTACATATAACTAAATTTCTAAATTCGATTTTTGTAGTTTAAAATTATTTTGGAATCACAAATAAATAGTAATAAAATATATTTCAAAAACATGAAGGGGCTCATTGTGATTTGGGATAACCCGAGGGACTGTGATTTCTTCCGGTTTATATTTTAAATTCAAAATTTCGAATGCTCTATTTATTAACCCAAGCCCAAACGTCTCCTTCATTGTTCCTCCCGAAAACCTCTCGCCAAACCCTAGTTTTTAATAGACGCAGAAAGAGATGGACGATAGAGACGACTATAGGTTTCTGAAGCTAAACGATGCCGTTCTTTGTATAAATCAAAAAGTTAGCTTAATCGGCGTTATTCTGGAGGTTGGTTGCCGTAAGGAAAACCAAGGCTCCGGTAATCACTAATCATCTCTTGAAATCCTTCTAGCTAGTTCAATTTTTGTTCATTTTTCAGTTAACTATGAGTGTTTCGAAAATGAATGTTTTTGGCTGGCTGTGATGACAAAAAGGCCGGACTTACGGCTGCCACTAGTTGTTTGGTAGTAGAATGATTAATGCTTCTATAAGGTGTACGTGCTGAGCCAGTTGATTTGATTTATTTACGTTTTAATGACTTTTCTTAAGTTATTTTTTTTTTTTTTTTCCTAATTCTAAACAATAATTTTTCTTAAGGTTACTTGCGCCATTGTTTTAGGTCTCCGTCTCCTGTCAAATTTTAGCTGTTGAAAAGATAATGCAAGTATATTAAGTGATATTGGGTTAGTATTCTTGCTTGGTTGATGCTGGCTTCTCTTGAGTTTGTTGAGTTTTGATGATTTCATTGTGTTATGGGGAAAAATAAATAATTTTAAAGCCTTAAATATCACAACAGTTGATGTGTAAGATCTGTTTCTTCTTGAAAACAATTATTATTTGTGCAAAAAAAGATAGATATTTGTTGATAAGGACATATGTACATCGCGATGTAGTATCGTATTTCACAGTAATTTTTTCTGTGAAGCCAAAATTACCTGCAATTACAAAATATGATTAAAAAAACCAACTACATCAAAGAAGTTCAAAACCCAGAATAAGTACACCATAATCCAAATAAAAAAATTATCCCAAAAAAAAAAAAAAACCGGAAGAAATTAGTTGAGATCTAAATATAAGTTGATGACTATTACAAATAATAATAATTTGATCAAAAGATTTGTTGAAGAGATTTCGGATGGAAATACATTGAACAATGCTTTTTGCCCATTACTGAGGTTCAAAGGAAAATTTAATCGTACAATGTCTACAAATACATAGAAATACATTCTCAGAAATAATCTTACCATTGCTTGTTATATAAATAATGCTAGTCTTACTCACTCTTCCTACTCACTTCTTTTACTCATTTTTGTTAAAACAGTAAAAAAGTGGATAAGACTAACATTTTAACAAAAGTGAGTAAGAGAAGTGAGTAAGGCTAACATTACTCTTATTATATAGTCAAAGCACTCAAGCACCTCAGAAGTATTATAGTACATATTTGGGGATAAGACATGAACCAAGTGATTATCAACCCATCTGTTATGCCTAAGGAAGTAAAGGGCTGACGTGGGAAGAGTCACGTGAAGGGCGACCTGCTTCCGTCAGAGCAGCATACAGACGTCAGACCTGCCAAGTGATGTGGAGCCCACACGCGTCCATTCTCCTGCCACAAGTCGTGCGATGTCAGCTTGGAAAAAGGGAAAATGGGACATAAAGCCTGATTATATACTGACAATCACACCAAATCACAAGCATCCGTTTCAAGTAGCTCTGTGATGCTGGAGACAGCAGAAACAATAATTCTAGTGAAGAGGGAAAAGATTGTGGTGAGCGTAGATGTTGCTGATGAAGGAAGGAACTTCAGTTGACACAGCACCGACGATCATGAGCAGGATTTTGTCGATAAGCACCTGGCCATTTGAATGAGGCAGAAAAAAACAACATTTTGGGCAAGCTTCAATGCACAAGTGTTCAGAAAAAGTTATCGACACCCCTAATAGTGAGAAAACGAGAACCTAACGGCTCAGAAGCAGAGGCAAATGCTAATTCCAGAGGTTCACCTCCCAGAATGGACAGATGAACAACTGGATGAGCTCTTATCATTTGATTGAGATGAGGGGCTTTTCCCTTCACCTACGGACTATTCATTTTGTTACATAGGTATAGCTGATATGTAGCATGTAAATTCTGTAGTTCCTTTTCATTTGAGAAGATAAATAAATGCTTTGCACACAGAATATATAAAGGATTACGAAGATCCATCTACTGAATGCAGTGTATTCAAAATTCAAAGGAGTTCCTACCAAATCAATCGAATTAGGGAAGATGGCAATTGTGATTCATCGTCCCCATTGATTCTCTCAACAGTCATCTTCTCCAAATTGGATGTAATATAATGCAAATATGGAGGTTATTTTACCCATGTTATTCTATAGACGTAACGTTAAATTACGATATCATTGTAATAGTATTACAGAAAATTTTAATTAGTCCTTAAAATTTTTATTTTTTAAAAAATACCCCAAAAAATTACTATATAATCTCTAAACTTTTGATAATCTCCAAAACACCCCTATAATTAATTTAACCCTTTATTTTGAAATATTAAAAAACCCCTTAACCTGAACCGGACAGAAAAGCTGCCGGGTCCCTCCGATCGACCGTCGGTTCGGTTTTTAAAACAGAGCTCTTTATAACTAAAACTTCTTTATTATAAAGTGTTTTACAGAAAAGATCCAACAGACTCCTTATTCTTTAAATATAAATTAAAGAGTGAGTTTGACTCTCCCACATTTGGAGAGTCAATTTTACTCTCCACATTTAGAGGGTCAATTTTTACTCTTTATCCTAATTTTAAAATAAATTGCAAGTTTCTATGCATTTTATTATTATTTATCTCTCCTACTAAGTTTCTTTCTTGAAAAAACAATTCTCTCTCCTATATTTAAAAAGTCTATTGATATTAAATAAAAATTTTGTTTTTATATTTAAAAATCAATAAAATGTTTTTTATTATACAAAAATGCCTTTAAAATGAAGACCACTATTAGAGATTCTCTAATATCCTATGAATACATTCTCAATGTAATTGCGAAGTAACGTTCTTCGGGGTAATGGTTCTGGGAAGTTTGAATTAAATGTGACACTGTAACAGAAAGGGTGAAAGAGTAATGCTATCTTCTCACCATCTCCTATCCTTGAATATACGCATAGTACGTGGTATCATACTAGTACAGGTACTATATGTAATTTTAACAAAGATAAACAAGACGTTAGAAACTCGTGAATAAGACTAGTATTCTGGGTGGGAAATACCCTACAACCTAACTGTTTATTGACGTTAGTTAATTTACATATAACAACGTTTAATCATGGCACATCTTTTAGCTTAACATTGTTAATTAACACAACAGATGTGCCGTTATTTAACAGGAATTGTTTTAGCCATTATTTACTGTACTGGCTCAGTGTCAAAGAGTACTATCCTATACTATATGATCACCTGCTTCAACCACTCCTCCTACCACTTAAGTTACATTGGTATTGAAATTTTAATATTATGAGTTGTGTTACCATAAATTAGTAGTAACTGAAAATATCATGAAGATGGTGTTGTGTGTATAACTGTATATTCACATAGTTACAACATGATCATATCTTATCGTAAAGTGGGAACTGTATACATCTATCAACCTAAACTGTAAATCTTTAAAATTTCAAATTTTCGTAAGTACAAAGATGCTACCCAGGATAAACTATCATACTACTCTTACAATACACGCGAGAAAACTTCTCATCGAAGATAAAACTACAAGCAGAATGTATATATTATATCCGAAGCAAAAAGCCCGAAACAAATTGGACTATACTTACAAATCGTTATAACATAAATCTCACCGAATAGATTCTTCTTCTTATAAAGAACGACGCAAAGAATTCTCTTCTGTGGATCCAATCGAGATGTATGGTGCTTAATGTCGTCTTACCCGTCCTTCAAAGACAGATGGTCATTTGCAGAATGAGAATCAGTTCTGTGATATGCCCAACCCTCCCAAAATATTCCATCAATCTTCCCGTGATTCTACAAATTACCTTCCTTAATCTATCAGCAGAAACGGAGGCTCTTTTATTGGTTGGCTCCAACACCAGTGCATATTGAAAATCTGCAAGAGTCCACGAGGCCAATGACATCAGTTAAAGAGACTGGTACCATATCAGGGAGTATCCCAGAAATCCTTCTGGGCCAGAGCATTCTTGACAAATACTTGCTTTAATAACTCTCGGCTACACACTGTTGTCCAAGAATACCCAACTACAGGAAAAGGAAGAAGATTACCTGGCCCTCTGAGAAAGACCTAACTTTGGTTGTAAAGTTTCATTCACATCCCTCAAGGTTTGCAGTGTGGGAAATTTTCCTGGTTTGTAAAATAGGTAGAGACTCCCCATACAAGCAGGGTTTCTAGTAAATCTTATGGGAAATTTATTACGATTTTCATATTAATGAGTGATGTTTACAAATCTGAAAAAAGCAGGTTAGACTGTATTTTAATTAAAGCTTAGAGAGAAGGTTAATGAAATTTCCCTTGATTTAATTGTTTTGGTAAGTAACTATTGTCTCGGAAGCCACTGTCTTGAATTCATATTATTACGTCTGCTCTTTCCTTCTAACTAATGTTTACAAAGTACCAATTCCATTTTATCCTACAAGATGAAGATAATAATCTACCTTCAATTGCCTCCTTATAATAGCCAAGCATCTCTCCGCTGTGCCTCTTCGCAAATAAGCTTTCACTACTGACAAAAGATGGAAAAAAGAAAAACAAAAAATGTTATTATTCTCGTGAATAGACTTGATACAGCACAAAATATTTACTGCACCATCAAAATAAAACCTATGTCTCAAATCCTGAGCAGATTGAAAATTTGCAAGTCAAGAATCATGTCACTATTATGCTTGCACCCAAGCTCTAAGCACTGGCACCTATTTTCCCATGAATTAGCTCAAGAAATACATCTTAAAGGCTCTTAATTATCTTGTACCCACTAAAATAATTACTTATGTCATAGCTATTAAAGTAATTTACAAGACAGATGTTCGATATTCTGAGAGGATCTAGAGCAAAGTAACAATAAAACAACTACCATAATGCAAACTTTTACTAATGAATCTTGATCAATCAGAAAACTCATACCATAAAGTGGTCAAATAAAAAGCTAAAATCCCAAATTTATAAAATAGTAAAATGTAACGAGAACTGTGAAACTGCGCACACATAACAGCGTGTAAAAGAAAGCTTCAGTTTTGTTGGTCTCATTATCTTTAGTAAACAACATTAGAAAAACACACTAACATGTCTTTAATGATAACCAACTTATCACTCTTATCATAGCTCGTAGACACACTGTTGCGTCACATGTTGTGGTCCTGGTCCGAGACCTGAAGACCATCACCTAGCCCAAAGAGTAGAACTACCAAATTGCAAACTAAAAGAATTTGCTTTATGAGATATAGTCACCTTTTGTCAAGCTTTATAGCGTTCGTACAATCTGCTTCAGCTTGAAGGAAACTGAGAGAAAAAATGAAATTTAACAAACCATATTGCAATATATTAAAATAGGGAATTAACTACCAATAATAAACAATACCTCCCACCTCAAGATATGCTGCAGATCTGTTACTGTAATACGTTCGTTATTTCCATTATTTTGATCCTTCTGTATAAAGCCATAGCCTTCTGCCATTGTTTTCTTTTATATGTTGGTTGCCCTAAGTCAAATTCAGAGAATAATTGAGAATGATTTGTGAAGTGAATATGCTCTTGCTTAGTCAATTCACCAAACCAAATTTAGCAATGTAACAGCATAATTCAGCATACTGATATGAAGAAAAAAAAGAGAATGCACATAATCCAGACAATGATTAAAAACTTGTTCTTAGTTTGGAGATTTCAGAGGCTTCATTCCTAATATATCAAAGCGAAATATATTTATACACCACAACACCAAGACCGAACCTGATGCTGGTAATGACCTTGACTAACAATACCATAATATGATGAATTTATTCCCCCAGATAGTTCTACCATTCCACTAACATATTCAAGAGAGAATCACATATTTGTTAGGATTGAAAAGACCAAGTTATGTCCTCTATTTATTGTCTTGATAGCACACAGTAAGCATACATCTCATTATGGTCTATTTGTAACAATTGTTAACTTTAACTCCAAAGTCTGAAAAATTTGCACATGCAAAAATGAAAACACAGTAAAATAAATATGATAATATACTTTTTTTAGCAATCTCTGCAGATTGTTCCTTGCTGATAGCATTACTTGAGATTTGGATGTAGCTACAACATCAACCTGCTCTTGTAGAGACTTGAACATATTCTGCAGAGTATCCGCAAAAAGCGATCACCCCCATGCTTGGCAAAAGGAAACTGAAATAGACAGTTGTCATGGTATCCAAGTGGCACGTGACCTGAAAAATGAAGAGAAAAAGTTAAATAAAAATTGCATCACTTTCATCATAAATAAGTAAACCTAAACTGACAATGCAATTTGATTTTGTTCCATCCAACCAATGAAACTGTAGGTCAGTCAATTGAGAGAATATTTCACCTGACAGCACCTGATAAACTCGCAATACTCAGTAGACTGAATGCAGAGTTCTGATAATCCTCTGATGTAACTCTTTCCCACCAAGTTTTGGAGGAGGATAACAGTGGTTGGGATCACAAGTATTCTATCATCCTAACAAATACCACATCACAAGTAGTGCAGCAGCATTAGATATAGAAATCAAAATAGCACCACCTTATCTATTAGCAGAAAGACAACAAATTAGGACTCTAAACCCGACAATAAACAATGAAACACATAAAGATCTCTTTCTTATGGTAGAACTTAAAATGACTAATAAAACGACGTGTAGGTAAGTATGGTACATTCGCACAGCGGAGACTGAAAGGAGAAAAGACAAAGCCACAACTTTTTACATACTACCAACCGCAAATTTCTTTGTCTTTGTACATGTCAAGAGGAAGTAAAGAGTGAGGAAAAGAGTTGCTAGCACTTTTCTATAAATTGGCTTAAGGCAAATCTGAAAAGAGGTTTCAAGTTAATTCTTCTGATACCCTTTTCCGATTACTTCCCACCAATGTTCATTCCTCCTTTCCCCTTTTTCAAAACCATCAACAAAAAAAGACTTAGCTTACTTCCCACCCTTAAAGACCTGATATTTTCTTTTTGTATTTACAAATGGAGAAAGATGAAAGAAGCAAACAGTTTTTAAGAGTACAAAGCCAATCAATCCCAGAAATATTAGGTAAATACAGAAAACATGATCATTCACACCAAAAGCTATAATAATATAATAATTGTCATTGTTTTTTATACATAAAAAATATGTATACAAAATTTAGCCAAAAGCAATACCTGCAAAAGAGAATTAATAGCAAAACGCATTTCGTTCCTAACAGATTTGCAGTTTTCTATCTCTGTGTCCGATGTTTCCAGCATGTCTATTTGTGCTGAGATGGCAGGATCTAGAGTAGGCTTTTCTGAGTTAATCCATTCCTCATGATTATATTTGAACTCGTGTCTGCATTTAAAAGAGAGGCACCCTTAGTTAACCCATTACTTAGTGAAGACAACAAAGCATCAAATCTACCCAAATAAATACTTTGAAGCACATGCGCAATATTGTGTATTCCTGACCTAGTAGGAGAAAGACACATTTTGGTTAGAGTAGGACAACAAAATTTGATCACTTGAGTGACCTTAACATTAGCAGTTTTGACTGCAACAAATGAATATGGGCATAAAAAAGATTTAATCAGCCCCTCCTTAGCACAAAATCCCGTCAACTAGCTCTGGAGAAGGCCAAATTTGGCAGCCAACCAACAAATGATGTATTAAATACTCAATCCCCTTTTTCAGCTCTAAACTAAACAGCAGTTGACTTCACAGAATAAACTGCACGGACATGGATTTCAGTTATTAGAGGATGCAATGGAATAAAATCCAATAAGCACATTAAATTTATTTTGCACATAGTGCACTGTAAAGAATAGAATCCACGAGTGGAACAAAAACATATCCACTTCACTGGCTTATATCAAATTGACAACAGTGGACCACTAATTCAGCAAGAATGATCCTTTCATCTCAGTTTAAAGCTTTCCTGTGTTATACTTCAACACATGCATCATCCACTTTTTAATAATTTGTGCCCCCATCAATAGTAATCAGTCAACCAAACTTCAAAATCACGTTTCCTTAATAAGAAATTAAATGAGTACTTCCCAAGAAATTGAATAAATGACGGCAAAACTTCCCAGAATCTCCCACTGCACAACTCCATATGCAATGGGAGTCAAAATCCCAGGTAACCATATACCAGAACTAACTAATCATTTCAGCATGGAGAAGAGAAAACTAAGCCTGCTATCAAACCAACAAATGGTAAAAACAAATAAGAAATTACATAATCATCAGAGGCAATTTGCAAATGTGAGGTAAAACCACTAAATTGTATTTTTTTCAAATCATGCCACACAAGCAGATTTTGCACATAGCATCATGCACCACAGACAAAATGCTATAGAGGAGAAGTCTAGCAGATTCTAACAATATTCATATCACTAAACAAGAAAGCTCACCTTTGAATAAAACCGCATAAGGTTCGCAAGCACCCTTATTGAAGAAGTTTTAACTTCACCTTTTGTTTAATGAACAATTTCAAGCTTGGAACGTTAGAAGATAAATACTGCCCAAGATTTTCATGTTTCAACACTTGTCCTGAAGAAAATTAATAAATATATATTCAGAGAAATGACAAAGAACAAAAGTAAAAATTGAAAAGAGAAAAGCTAAAAGAAAGCTCCGCGAAAAGAACTTGCAGCTTCAGCATGAAACAGAAAAATCTTACTTCCGAAAAGCTTCTCAGTTGACTTTGTTACCACCTGAACATCCTGTCCACAGGAATTTTTGGCAGTTCAAAACAATCATCAGCTTGTAATTGGCCTGGGACTACGTTGAATTCCATAGGAAGCTGCGCAGCACATGGCACAACGGCGAAGAATATTAGGATCCCTAGCAAACCATCCTGCACATGATTTCACAAGTCAAAAGGTAATGAAATTTTAATAGGACACTGGCTACAATTACACCATGCACACAGCACTGCAACTGGTACAAAAATGACACATAAGCTTTGAAGTTTTCAATTCCAAACTCATGGGTAAAGACTAAAGTATCGGTCGGAGGGCCACAAATGAGCAACATAGCACAATACAAACTTAAATTTTTACTTAATGTTAGCCGATCTTGAATTTTAGGTTCTTTTAGTCACGATAACTTATCATGAATGTGGAATATATTCATGAACTTATATCACATTAATGAAGTACAACCACAAGATCAATGACCCAATCATGGTAGTTGGCACCAACTGGCACAAAGGACAAATTTCGGTTAGACTTCCCATCAAATTGCCAAAGTTTTGGTTTGAATCATTACTAGGGGGCAATAAACGGGTCTGAATTTCATAAGAAATTATATATAATTTAAATCCAATTATGTAATGCTGACCACAGAAGAAATGGCCAAGATAATCAATTGCATAAAAATTTTTTCTTTTTTACAATTGACTTACTTCTTTTGTTTTACATAGATGATCGTACACATTTATTCATCCAATACTGGCATTACCATCTAGATTTAAATTCATATCCAATCTTGCGTATATATATATATATTATTATATATTATATATATATATATAATATAGAAAGTTTGATTGAAATTTTGTCTTTTATATTAGTTGATGTAACTAATTGTTCTCGAAGCCCACTCATAAGCTTTGTATTTTAAAAAAATACCGATATACACATAAGTCATCACCATTTTCTTAAAATAAAAACTTAATTGACCTCACTAACAATTAGTTTGCACCAACTATCTAAAAGACAAAATTTCAATCATCTTTCTCACATCAATACTAAAATAATCTTTAATGTTAACTAGCACCATAATCGAGTATTTTCAAAATGTGAATATATCCACATCTGAAAATTTCATATAAGAATAAAGATCTCATTTCATTTTTGGATGTCCAAAACAACCCAAAAAACCACATAGCTTACGAAGAACTAACAGGGAACACCAAGACAATTAACTCAAATACTCATTCCCAAAAACACAAAAATGAAGATGAGATATAAAGTTTAAATATGGATTGTGTAATGCTAACAATAGATGAAATAAATGGCCAAGAGCGTCTATTGCATTAAAATTTCCCCTAATTAATGCAATTGGTTGCCAAAGATGATCTTGCCATTTTTTTCCTACTTCATCTAACATTGCACATCTATACACACACACACACATTTTTATAAATATGGCATGTTTATAAGCTTACCTCTCATTGGCCATTAAAATAATATACATTTTAACAATTGTAAAGAAAAAATTTAATCTTCATCATTAACTTGATAAGTCTTCAAGTACATCTGTTAGCCTTCTAACAACTAAGCACAACTCTTAGAAGGCTTATCAAGTTAATGATGAACATTAAATGTTCTCTTTATAGGTATTAAAATGTACATTATTTAATAACTAATGAAACATTAATTGCTTATATATATGACCCTTTCCTTTGTATATTACGCATGTTTTCCTTAAGTAACAAGGCTTCTTAATTGGTCCTTTTCAATACAAGTTGCACCTCATTGTTGTGAGCCATAAAAAGTAGTATAGTTTCATATTAGCCCCCTTAATATCCTCTTATCTATTTTAACCACTTTATTTTTTCTACTTTAGTGTATGTGTGAGTGTGTGTGTGTGTGTGTGAAGCGTTAGTAACTTTAGGACAAAATTTTGAAATCTTCGATGTGAGAAAATTTGACTAAAATTTTGTCTTTTAGCGTTTATTAATGCCAAATAATTGTTAATCGATGTCAATTAATGAGGTTCGTATTTTAAGAAAATGGCAATAGCTGGCATAATAAACACTAAAAGACAAATTTCAGTCAAACTTTCTCACATTGAAAACTGCAAAGTCATATTCTTTCAGGTAACGAACGCACGTAATCAAGAGAGTAACTTTAAAAAATTAGATATCCACACTGGAAATTATCATACATATTATAAAGATCTTAACTTGTTTAGCATGCCAATGACAACCAAAACATCCACAATGCTTACAATATTATAGGTAACAACAAAGGATATGAACCTATTATCTCAAACAAAAACACAAACATGAGACGAGATTCATTTGGGAATAAAGTTGCAAATGGTCATATCATTTTTTTTTCTTAGAGTCATGTAATTGATCAATACATACCAATGTGTCGAGGCTTTTTGAAACAGGCATCGTTCCACATGAGAAACAGCCCCATGAGAGGATCGAAACCCTATAATTCCACAAAATGAGGCAGGAACTCTCACACCACCAACAGTATCGATACCTGCCATAAGTGTACATAAGAATCACTCTCCTAAATTTAACACACTGTTTAATATAAATATTAAATAAACAATAGAAAAAAGTCAAAACCAAAACATACTAGCACAATTCTCATTAAATATAGAGCATGTAGCACTCAATATCATATGAATACACAAAAAATTAAGACTTTCCATAATTACATGCAATAGATCCAAATTTATCCTTCTCTGAGAAACACACACACACACACAAAAAAAAAAAAAAAAAAAAAAAAAAAAAAAATTAACATCAACACGATTATAGATATAGAAATATATTATTGAATCTTTGACATTATTACTGTATATAGGCCGAGATGCTTGCATATACCAAAATTTTGAGGAATTATTGTGAGAAATTTTAAGACAACAAACACGTTCTTGACCACAATAATTTAATCCATCGTATTTCAATCAATCAGTTCATGCTAGGGAAAGTAAGAGGTAATAAGTTACAAAAGATCACAAAAAGAAACTCACCCAAAGAGAAGTCAACAAGATTAGCTGCCACGCCACAGCAGCCCCACTACATGATCCACCAGGTACTCGAGCATGTGCGGCAGGATTAGTTGGTGTCCCAATACTTGTTCACTCCATTGATACTGAAAATAAAGCACCCAAAAACAATCCATAACCAACGTAAACCAAACGATACAAAAATTTACACATCACATCGAGAATAAGAACAGATATTAAAAAATCCAACATTCACCCACCAAAGTAGGATAATCAGTAAGTAATGATATATATGTCTCTTCAATGGCTTAATGTCACCATGACTAAGTTCTTTTTTTTCTTTTTCTTAATCATATGACTTCTAAACCAAAAACTGGACTTTTCAATCTTCAATGATGCAAAATCTACATTAAAAGCAAAATGTCGAGATTTCAGTACTTCAATACTATTTTTGGCCATTTCTCATGAACTTGATAATAAATTTCTCACTCAAATACAGAAGCAAAAACAAAAATTACAAACCTATAAGCCAGTTCATCCACGACCGTTTTACCAACGCAAGTGGCACCTCCTTCCACAAGAGTCGAAACCACCGTCGCCGTTCTAGAAGCTGCACCCCTTGTAGTCGCCCACTGAATGGCCGAAACCGGTCACATAACCCTCGATATCAAATCTATTAAACAACACACATTAATAAACACAACAAAAAACATAAATATCATCATTATTTCGAGCCAGACAGCGAGCGAGAGAGCGTACACACTCGGAGAAGGCGAAGGTGAGAGAAGTGAGAGGATGAGCCTTGGGAGGAGCAGGCTGAGGCGGAGGAGAAGCTGAAGCTTCTCAACGAAGGCTCCGAAGTCTTCTTTAATGTTCTTTTTGACTTTTTTGTGAGAGAGAATTCCGCGAGTCCGAGGCCAAGTAAAACCAGAGATTATGGTGTGAGAGCCATGGCTGAAGTGAACCGAAGATGAATCGCCGATGAAGAACAGAAATTTTGGATATGTCGAGTTTTTGAGTTGAGTTTGGGTTTTGGTTCAGTAACGACTAGGTTACCGAAACCTAAAAAGGATTTTTTTCGAAGACGGAAGCTCCGAGTTTTATTGTACGAATAATTACATTAGGGTCCCTGTACTATTTCGACTAATCTATTCCCCTCTTTTGTGATTTTTATTCTATACTGACCATGTAAATTTTGATAGTTTTATTATTATTTAAAATATTATTAATGTAAAAAAATAAATAGGTTTTATTTTTTATTTTTTTAAATTTCAACGGGAGCTTTTAGTTATAGGCAATTGAATTAATTGCTTTATATATTATAATATAAAAAATTCGGATTTATAATTGTCGGTTATTTTTTCTAAGTTTTGAAATGTGAAAAAGTTCATATGATAGGTCCATTTATTAATTTATCGATCTTTTGCTCTTTTTCGGTAGAATTTTATATTCATGATATTTTTTTTTTTTTTTTTTTTTTTTAATCAAGAAGTCCGTCAACTTTTCACTAATCCAAAGAGAGACTACTACAATAATCCAACACCATAACCCTATTTAAATCGCAGATGTTCGAATAGGGAATCAAACCTGAATGGATTTTTTCTATAAACTCTTATCCAAGAAAATGTTTGATTATAATGTTTATTTTGTTAGATTATTTTCTCTTTAGAAGTATCATAACAAAGGATCCATAGTATTATTAAGTGGTAAGATTTGGAACATTAATAAAAGAGTACTCCGCAAAGACTTCCCTTCAAGTTTGTGGAAGTATTAATCAAACCCAATTTTATATTATAAGAACCTACCATACTCAAAGCTAATATGTCGTATACCGTATACGTATACCGCCCTCTTCCAAACTTCAGGATCTCACTACAAATTACCCTGTACTAAATGCTTCACAGAAACTCTCTTCATAATACAAAGTAAACAATATTGATCCAAAACAACTCTTGGCTGAAATTTTATACAATCCACATTAAGTGTAGTGTTCTTCGTTTAATCGACTAATGATGACCAAAACTTTAGTCTAGAAACGATGAAGTGCAATACAGTATAACGCATAAATTATAATCATTTATCGCAAAACGAAAGGATAAAAAATGTTACTTATGATGGTCTGTTTCGCTTCTTGCAGAGGCACAGATATTTTAGCGCAAAAGCGATGAACTAAATGCTCCAAAAGAATGGTAAGGAAATCCAGTCTAGGCCTTAATTCTTGAAGACTCTCCCACAACGTTCTCCATTCTAGTGTACCCACCCGATTCGAGTGTGCTCCCCCATGTCTCTACCAGACCTTAGGTGACGAATTGGTCTTAAATACTCAATACAGCAAGTCAGCTAAATTAGGCTTCGAACCTCCTGTCATAAGAAGAAACTCGAAATACATTAGTATCGTGAAGGCTACTACAAAGAAGTGCGAGTTTATGCCATTGCAAGTCTCCTCAAGGCATTTGCTTCATTTTTTCTTTTTCTTTTTTTCCTTTCCCCTCTTTCTGTGGGTAACAGAAACAACAAAAGAAAATGCTCTTGCCATGCATTAAAAAACTTATTTTATATGTTAAATTAATGTTCTAAACATTTACCATTTAAAGTGATAGCTTGGCTTAAATAGTGGATTTTCAGGATAAGTGAACTACAATTGTCATAGTTGCTTAGTTTTTAAAAATTATGATATTGGTGAATACATGATAATAACCAATTACTAACTATTTATGCTGAAAATTGATGACAGAAACAATATCGAACACATACCAAGAAAGTCCCTACCATCTAGAGCTCCCCCCAGGTTTCTGCAGCTTCATACAGTGCAGCACGTTCATCAGTAATGTTAACTTCTTTTTCAATTTCTTGGACACAAATACATTGCTGCAGCTCCAGCATATTTCACAGTAATTTTTTCTGTGAAGCCAAAATTACCTGCAATTACAAAATATGATTAAAAAAAAAACCAACACCCAAGAAGTTCAAAACCCGAATAAGTACACCATAACCAAATAAAAAAATTATCCCAAAAAAAAACACTGAAGAAATTAGTTGAATCTAAATATAAGTTATGACCTATTACAAATAAAAATAATTTGATCAAAAGATTTGTTGAAGAGATTTCGGATGGAAATACATTAAGAATGCTTTTTTGCCCATTACTGAGGTTCAAATGAAAATTTAATAGTAAATGTCTACAAATACATTCTCAGAAATAATCTTACCATTGCTTGTTATATAGTCAAAGGACTCAAGCGCTCACAGAAGTATACGGTATATATTTGGGGATAAGACATGCACCCAGTGATTATCAACCCATCTACACACCATGAAGGCTAAATTAATATATTACAAGTAAATAGAAATCTCAAATATGTAATAATATTATATAATGTTATAAATTGAATTACATTTCTTTACAAATCTCCAAAGTCTAAGCTCAAATAATTACAAACCAAATTTACAATATGTGAGCTTAAATGCATCACACAATGTATTAAACCTAAATTGTTTTATAAGCTGAACATGTAAAAATCACATTGTGAACCAATTTGTAGACTTAGATAGCATTTTTTTTCAATTTAATATGTCATTTGGATAATATGAGTTCACTTGAAAATATGTTTTTCCAGGAGGTCCAATATATCTGAAACCTACACAGAACACAAAAACAGACAAGGCATCAACCTTTACAAACCAAACCTTAAACTGATCCCTTTTCAAAGACTCTCTGTGACTCTGTTAATATAATCCTACTTACTAACCATCAGTTATTCAATCAAATGTACCCAAAATCAGCAATCCACCTCTACAATTCTGCCATTGTATAGTATTTCAAGCTCCCCCAATTCATATCATTCAATCTCTAAGCCTTCTCATTATATCACACACCAATACCCTATGCACTTAAGTTTTCTTGAATGCAAGCGCAGTACAAGAAATGTAAGCAACAGATGCGGAAAAAATTAGCATTATGGAATATATCCATACCGCGCCCTTTGTCTCTTCATCATCTTCAAAGGATCCGCCATTTTCTCAGGAATTATCTTGTGGCCCAACTTATCAATTATACTGCACACACCACAGCAACATTAATGAAATCAGAAGGAATGTAGCTTGGACAATGCTTCAGGATTCTACAATTTAATTCAAAATTTCAAACCAAGAATTAACACAATCCATTTTAAATAAAAAATAAGATAACCTGATGAGTCAACCAGCTGTTCTCCATCCCCATCAGTGGTTACCTTTTATAAATCGGACCACTTGATCTCTTTCTTACTAAGTATTGACTTCCACAACTTTATATGGATATCATAATAGTCCAGGAAAGCTGAATACCCAAAAAAAAAAAAAATGTGATGCATTGTAAACAACTATAGCGAAGAGCAAAACAAGAATAAAAGAGTAACACTAGATAAGAACTTTTTCCAAGAACCTTAATCGCAAGAAATTAAACAAATCAAATAGAAGACATACCAGCTTATTAAATTTTCAATAAATCTTCATGAATTAAACAGTCAATGATCCTGATAAGTACACAATTCACTAGTAAAACCACATAATCATCTTACACTCACAAACTAAAGTTTCTTAATGAGAGATGCTGAAAATAAAAGAAACTAATCATTCAAGGAAAAAATCTTCAGTAGACCCAGCATGCACATATTTCATCTCATACCAATCCAATAACATCCCATCACCCACATTTATTGTTCTCTCTCCACCTACCCACCGCCAATTCATTATTTTAAAATAAAAAAAAAATGTTTGAATGATGGATTTTATTAATGGACGCACTGAGATTTGAAACTGCGGTCATACTAAATATTTAGAGTGCAGAGCCAGTAACTTCCTGCCAAACTTCAACCTTATAAAACAGTAACACAAAAACTTGTTTAATGCTCTTCTATACTCTTCAGCAACAAACTACACATTCAAACTAACTTTTCAATTCTTTTGCAATGATAGATTCAAAAGTTGATTGAAGTAGCAAATTAATAACAGAATAAAAGCACCAATTACAAAGCAAAAAAGGAACAAACCTTTAACTTTGTTGCAAAAGGCAAGCCTCATACTGATAAAGAACACATCCTCAGGAACCAAATCAGCCGGCGGCGGTTCCTTAGCATGGACCTCTTGAAACGACAGCGATGCCGCCCGCAGCGAGCGCTCCGGCAAGCCGAGAGAGACGGCTCCAGCGAGAGGCGACGTACGAACCGCAATTGGCACTGATGCCGCCCTTGAGAGAAAGCGACGGTGGACGGTTGGCCACCGAGGAAAGAAGTGGTAGTTGAAGCGAGTGTTCTGGAAAGCAAAACGAAGTAGATTGGAGGCTCTACGGATCGCCGCCATTTTCAAGCTAAGAAAAACGGAAAGATCTTTAGATATCTAGATTTGCAAATTCAAAGAATTTATGTCGTTCTGAGATTTTTTTTATTACTGGGGTTAGGGGCTTTTAGAGTGGGAACCAATTAAATGGAGACACATGTAACCGGACCGCCGGTTCAGCTTGGAATACATTTATTCAAGCGTGTGCAAGGTTCGGTATGGTATAGGAACTCCTTATTTATACCCATTTGAAGGGCGAACGACTTGTAATACCCAAAATTTACTATAATAACAGTTGGTACCCAAAAGGTTTAAAACGACAAATAAGTACCTTCCGTCATTTCTGTTAGTGATTTTTGTTTATTAATAGTGAAAAGACTAAAATGCCCTTCAAAGTTTCAATTTTGTTGTTTTTTATAAATTTAAAAATTTCTAAAAAACCCCCTGTTTTGCTAATTTTTAAACACCCCCATATATAAAAAGTTTGTTAATGACAAAAACACCCCCACCACCCAATGCCAGATTCCGGCCACCATCGCCGGAATCTGGCCGGAAAACTGATCCATTACGACACAGCCCCATCGGATCGTGTCGTAAAGTGCCGATGTGGCCTTTTCACAGCACGACCGCCACTCTCGGCCGGAAAAGGCAGATCTATGCCAGATTGGCCGTCGACCGCAGATGAGTTTTGCGGCGTCGACGGCCAGATCTAGCCGTAGATCTGGCCTTTTCGCGGCCGATCTAGCCGTAGATCTGCCTTTTCCGGCCAGATCTAGCCGTAGATCTGGCCTTTTCCGGCCAGATCAGCCACGGTCGGCCGGAAAAGGCCAGATCGACGCGTTACGACACAGATCCGACGGGTCGTGTCGTAACGCAAACTTTCCGGCCAGATTCCGGCTGGTGGCCGGAATCTGGCACTTGCCGGTGGGGGTGTTTTTGTTATTTATAAAACTTTATATTGGGGTTTTATGAATTTGTAAACTTAGGGGTTTTTTTGAAATTTTTAAATTTATAAAAAAACTAAAATTTAAACTTTTAAGGGTATTTTAGTCTTTTCACTTTTAATAAACAGTAATAAACAGAAATCACTAACAGACATGACAAAAGTACCTATTTGTCTTTCAAAACCTTTTGGGTACCAACTGTCGTTACGATAATCTTGGGTATGTATAAGTCTTTCTCCCCCATTTGAAAATAATAATTTAAATATTATTTAAAAGGTATTAAATTATTTTAATTTGTATTAAACTAAAATAACAAATTTAATTAAAGTTTAAATTAGGTTCAGAAAATTTGAACTGACTTAGGTCAAATCACTTAGGTTGCTGCCAGATAGTAAGATTTTAACCATTTCAATAATTATCCAAAGATCCTCTATTAGAGTTGGACTAATGATTATTTATCATTTACGACTTATTTGACAAATTCATCTTGTATGGTGTTAAAAACCTCACAGATTAATTAAAATACAAATAAAATTATAAACTGGTCCAATATTCCAGATATCCCAAAAAAAATTTAGCCAACCTAAGCCAAATCAAGAAATATAATAGTCCGGTGAGAATCGAATTTGATTGAAGTTTGTGCGTTTTCACATATAATATCGATCCTATTGTCATCAAACGTTCAACTTGTATCAATGTAAAGAGAGAAACAAATCTCTTTTTTTCAATCCCACAAATATCATCTCAAACCCCTTTTTGCTTTCCATTTTCTTGACACACATGTAGCCTTTTCTAGTTGAATTGCCATGAATTAAGTACTGTGAAAGGTAAAGGAGAACACATTTCTCACCTTACTAGCAACAAACCACCAAAATTTCATACAAATATAGTCCTAAATTGTAGACAAAACATTAGATCATTCCTCCATTTTATGTAAACGATGATGTTGATGACAATAATGGAATACCAGTTTCTATTCTATACATCACTAATTGTTAGCCCTCGTAATAGCCATAGCAAGCTTTTGGAACGGTAGTAGAAAGATTCACCATCCAATCTTTTGTAGAATACTAGCCATGGGCGATATTAAAGTCCCATGTAACCATGAGTTCGGTAAATGTAAGGCAGTGACAGCCACCTAATCGTCTACATGTGTGATTAACAGGCGTTCGCGATGCATCTTTTAGTACAGGTCTCCTCCATCCTGCCTTCATACTCTGTTGCAGCTTCTTTAGGGCGCCCAGACTTACCTTTAGGCAGACTTCATTCTTGCTAAATTTAAGAAATCACACCCTGTTGAAACAGAATGCAACTGGTGTTAGTAAACTTACCGCTAAACCTTGAGACAACCTCGCCATGGAGAATTGGTAGAGACTCACGAGGGACGTCCCACTCTCATGATATAGCATTCTATTAGCCGTTGCTCACGGCAACGCAACATTTTTATTGCGAGCAAAGTTCATGAAAAAGCACCTGCAAGCACATAGATGCCAATTACTGAGAGTAGACTCAATTTACAGATGAACATTAATCAATAATAAGGAAACCTAAAAGCTCATGCTAAGTCACCAATCCTAGAGATAGACTAAACATCAGAATGAAAGTCAGCACTAGATATATTTTTGGTCCTTGACGACAGCCAGGTTACAATTAGAACAGTTAATTGACAATATGTAGCTCCCATCCAAATGATAATACGAAGCTTGAGCAAATATTTGTAGAGGATAGCTTGTTATTGAAAAGAACTACCAAACACTTACCGAGGGCAGTTTCCACTCTCCCTTCCTCACTTCTACCTCGTCACACAAGCCTCTTTGGACCCCCTGCTTTGCACTTTAGGCATCGCGTATTTTAGAAAAATTCATGAAATTGCATCTACAATACAAGTGCAAACAGTGAAAGGACGGAAAAAGAGTGCACGTGGTATGCAATAACTTATTATAACATATAAAAGGGGGGGGTCGTCAGGGGTTGCTTGTCATAATTTGTTGGATTGAGACATCATCACATCCGAGATAAATACCACACACTACAGAGCATGAGTGTATTACCACATACTAAAAGTATAAGCTAAAATCGGAACAGGTTTATAATATCGTGTCAGCACTATTTAGGAAGGAGGTGAACGGCCGCATTATAACTGCTTTTGAGCACAATTTAAAAGAATTAACAATAGATATTTTGTAGAAGCTCCCATGCCAAAAGGACATAATGTAGCTCCTAGCCAAAATAATAATACAGAAGCTGCGCAAATATTTGTAAAGGATAGCTTGTTTATTAAAAAGAACTACCAAACACTTACTGAGGCAGTTCCAATCTCCTTTCTTCACTTCTACCACCCTGTCCCACGACAAGCCTCTTTGGACCCACATGCTCTGCACTTTAGTCACCGCATACTTCTAGAAAATGCATGAAATTGCATCTGCAATACAAAGTGCACCAGTGAAAGGACAGGAAAAGAGTGACAAGTTGGTATGCAAATAACTTATTATAACATATAAAAAGAGGGGGCGTCAGGGGTTCTTGTCCATAATTTGTTGGATTAGAACATCATCACATCCGAGATAAATACAACGCACTACGAGCTCAAGTGTTTACCACATACTAAAGTAAAGCATAAAATCAACAGGATTTATATATCATGTCAGCACTATTTAGGAGAGGAGGAAGGGCCACATTATAACTGCTTGTGACACAATTTAAAGAATTAACCAGATAAGTTTTCACCAACATAACCAAATGACCCCCTACAACTCAATGGCCACTGAATCAAGGGATATATGAACGAATATTTTTGTTTCTCATAAAAAAATAGATAGATAAATAAATATATTCCGACCGCAAGGTGATAAAATTATCTTTTGAACACAAAAACTCCTGAGACCTAAAACCCAATGTGAATGGACAGTGAGCAACATTCAATATTTTAATAGTCTGTCCCCCAAGGGATTTATTTATTTATTTATTTGTGGACAACTGGTCCAATTTTGCATCTCATTTTCTTCTTCGACAAATTTCAGTTTCCAATTAAAAAAAAATATGGAGCTAGAGATGATTGCACACTCACTCAGAGCAGATCCAGTCTCCATCCTTCATTTCAATGTCACCACCACGAACACTTTTAGGACCTCTCCTTACACTTTAGACATATTAATTTCTAGCGAAGTTATAGAAATTGTATCTGCAAACAGAAGTGAAAGAGAGTCAATTTTTTTGAATGTTTGCTTTGAATTAGTTTATCCTTAAACCATAGATTCTGGGAACTTGATTCAATCTAAAAACACCCTAATGCAAAATTTCCATGTTGAGTCTTAACAAATATGGTTCATCTATTTATTTTTACTTTTTTGTGTCATAAACCAATGGATTAAAGTCCAGTCAACGACACTGAATTAGGTTGTTACGTAGTCCTTCAAGTCATAAAGTATTGTAATTAATGTTAACTTTCAAACCTTCAAAAAATTACAAGGCAATGAAGTATGATAGATACAAAAGTGTTAGGACTGCAGCAAAAGCCCTGAAGCCATATGATTACCCATTAACAACTGTCCATTAACAACTAGTCTCAAGATGTCTAACCCTTCTATTATGCCATCAGTGTCAGCCATCAAAATTCAATCTCCATGCTTGCACTTGGAAGCCTAAAACCTTTTGAAAAAAATCCTCAAAACATCTAAGCCCAAAAATCCAATATTTAACTTGATGCATCCACTAGACAGTTTGGTTCCCTCAATTGCCAAAATCAAAGAGTGCTTCCCAAACGAAGGAAATACTTTGTCAGATTTTCTCAAACTAACATTTATACTTTAGTATCTCTTCTAGGTTCAATCATGAGCTGTGAGGTCTAATTTTCCCTCTAGAAACTGTCAGATTCATATCAATTCTAGGAAGATGTTTTTTCGTTCTCGCCTAAAAATCATTGGGCAAGATAGAGATTCATTGAATAAGAGAGTAATAAATTTTCAATGTGACTTACTTGAGACACATCAATCGCCTCTTTATTCATTCACATCCTGTAATAGTTCATTCCTTAACAAAATTGCCTTGTTTCTTTGCTGGACAGGGTTTGAAGCGGCCTTG